GCTTTTTCTCTAGGGGAGGAATGTGAAGGTTCGCTTAAAATTTCCCCCTTTAGAAAAAAAAGGGAGAGAAGCCAGAAGAGGAAGAGAAGAAAAGCAAGGAAAAGGAAGGAGAGAGGGAAGGAAACGACAAGTGACACACTCTCTAAAAAGAAGAAAAAGAAAAAAAAATGCCTTTTTTTCTAAGGGAGGAGGAGGGTGAAGATTCACCTAAATTTTCCCCTCAAAAAAATAAAATAAAAATAAACAAGCACACAAAATAAACAAGTAAAAAATAAACAAGCAAAAAATAAACAAGCCCCCCCCCAAAAAAAAAAAAACTTCCATACGCTAAACCTTGATCCTTGTCTTCCGAGGTTCAGGTCTTCGTTGGAGATGGAATGTTGAAATTGGAGGAGGAGGAAGAGGACCTGCTTAGGCCGTTCCCGTTTCCGTAGGCCTAAGGATCTGCCGGCTGAGGTCAGTGCATCGTCAACGATATATTTTTTTCTTCTGTGGATGGAATTTCAATCCTGACTCTTTAAATTAGGTTAGATAAGTAGTTTCTTTCTAATAGAAAATAAGAAATAAGAATATAAAGATTGATTTGAAAATAATGCACAGAATTGATTTGCTCTCTGAGTAAAAAAAAAAAAAAAGAAAAAAAGAAAACCACTCTGGCATCTAGAACAAATATATACCTTCAATTCGAATTATTATTATTTTTTTTACTTTCTTTAAATCACACCCACATATATATCCTGTTTTCATCCTTCTCTCAAAACACAAACTACGGAGTCATCCTCAGGCGAGGCTTCATCCTTCATGCTGACCACCGGGAATTAAAAGGCCCTAATGAGTGGCCTGGGATGACCGGTGCCTTCCTAACGATAGACGGGGGTCGGGGAGGTCATGCGGAGGGGGGGGGGGAGGGGGGTAGGGGTTGGTTATTCGTTTCGTGTCTCTTGTTTTTTTTTCTTTCTTTTAATGCTTCGTTCAAAAGGGAGATGTTGTTTTTAGTATCAAAAACAATCTGTCTGTGTGTTTGTCTGTTTAAAATCTATTTTTCTATCAGTAAGTTGATCAAACAATCTATCTATCTATCTGTATACATATTTATATACATATACAAATAGGTATATATATATATATATATATATATATATATATATATATATATATATATATATATATAGACATATATGTTTATACATATATGTCCATACACACCCGCGTGCGCACACACATACACATCTATATCTATATATCTGTCTTTACACGTATACACACACACACACACACACATAAATATGTATATATATACACATATATATACATACACATTGGCATATACATATATATATTCACACACACAAACACAAACACACACACACATATATATGTACAGACACAAATATAGACACACACATCCATATATATGTATAGCGCGATAGTGTACTGGTGTTAATTTTCATTGCCCTCAGTACTGCGCCCTCTTCCCCCCAAATTTGCATTTTATGGGATCTGCATTTTTTTCAGAATTCATGACTGTACGTTTGCCAAAGTACCTTTCCAGGTTACTATTAAAAAAAGTTTTCACAAGTGACGAAAATAAGGAACAGTAGATTGACTTAAATTACGAGTGTATTTTGACTGACAGCTAAATCTACAACAAAAAGAGATTCTTGCTCAATCACCAAAAGAAAAATGAATTTATCTTTCCATCCTTTCATATAAATATCATCATCATGTCATATTCGGGGAAAAAATGTAAGTATAAAACAACAAAAGATTCGAATACCTTTAAGAGAATCTTCGAGTATCAGAATCTCTTATGCGCGAGGAGTACGTCTATACGTCTGTGCGTGCGTGCGTGCGTGCGTACAGAGGTCGGATGTGCCAACCAAAAACGCCTCAGCAGCAGCCGCGTGATTGCCAGTTAACCGTTGCCGCCGGAACTGGGGTAATTATGAGAACGTTCCTGGAAGAAGAAGAAGAAGTACTTGAGGGGAAAGGAGGGAGCTGGAGGGGGGGGGGAGGAGGGGAGTGCAGAACATCCTCCCTCTCAAGCTCGTATCCTTCCCTTTTTTTCTTTCTTTTCTCTCGTTCGCGTGTGAATGAGGTGGAGAGGAGGGAGAGAGAGAGAGAGAAGAGAGAGAGAGAAGAGAGAGAGAGAGAGAGAGAGAGAGAGAGAGAGAGAGAGAGAGAGAGAGAGAGAGAGAGAGAGAAGAGAGAGAAGAGAAGAGAGATAAAGAAGAAAGAGAAGAGAGAGAGAAAAAGCGAACCAGAGAAAGAAAGATAGAAAGAGAAAAGAGCGAGAAAAGAAAAAGAAA